TTCTATTGTTGTCCCGCATTTTTCATTTTTTCCAGTTTTCCAATTTTGTTGCCATTTTCATTCTGCACTATTCCATTCATTTTGATGTTTAGCATTATGTCTCTACTGTTGCGTTTTGATTTTATGGAGGGCTAAAACCCCAGGGTTGGGCCCTTGGGCAGATTGCAACCCTCTGATGGAGGTTCTTTGTGCGTTGCATTTCTGCTCCGCTTGATTCTCCCTTGTGAGATCTGTGTTCTAAGGCGTTCAACATCTAAGTCATGCTTAATGACTCTAGGTTGTTTGTGTTCAGTATCTCAGGTTGCTTAATCCTGAGGAAGGAGGTTTGACAAGGTTCACGTTTGCTTAATTCGTGTAGCGAGGTCTCAGGTTAATCTTCGCTTAGTTGATTAATCTGGACTGAACATGATTAAGTTCAGACAGATTATTTGTCGTGAACCGAGGATATCAGAGGTGCATTATGTTCAAGGGTCTGACCTATTTTAATTACTGCAATTAATTCACAACTTTGCTCTGTTTTATTTAATTTTGATAATCTGCTCAAACCCCCCAACTACGTGTTCGATCCTTTGACAGAAAGAACTAGTCCTTGGGAGTCTCTAGATGAGTTCACGCTGGGCGTGAAGAAAACCACGTCGAGCGCGATATCAGATAGTGGCCTTGTCTAGCAGGTTACTAATATGGCACCGAGCGCATGGTAGGTGCGTCGAGCGTGGAGACCTTTGGATGTTTCTGTCTAGATAGTGCCATGCGTAGGATGGGTGCGCCAGGTGTGTAGACTCCTATGAGTCTCTATCTTAAGGACGTCGGGCGCGAGTTGATTGCGCCGGGTGTGAATGAGCCTTAGAGCTCTCGGGTTAGATGTTAGGCCAGGCGTGAGTATGTTTAGTAATGTTGATTAAAAATGATGCTTATGCATGTTTAAAGTTGAAGATTTGATCATGTATGTATGATATATAATGTATGGTGGTATATGATTCATATGTATGCTTGGTAATGATATGTATGAATGTTTAAATATGATATGACATGTGTGTATGTTCATATGAGGATGATATTGATCATGATGGTGGATTGGCCATTGTATGATGTATGATGCATTATTGCATGTGATGTCTTATGGCATGTGTCTAGCCTAGGACTTGAGGAGAGGGAAAATGTTTTCAAATGGGAAAAGCTCACATAGAGTCTCTTGAGAGTGGTGCTTGGATAGGCCACTTATTTATATGAGGGTGGTGCTTAGATAGGCCATTGGCTTTTGGGTGAGAGTGGTGCTTGGATAGGCCACTGGTTTGGGTGAGTCTCCTCTGAGTCCTTAGCTAGTGTTGGAGCGGGGTATGAGGTCGAGGGTTATTCCCTTAACCAAATACTAGGAAAGGTGCATGGTTCCTTGCGGATAGTCGGTGGGCGAACTCCACAAGTGACTTGGTAATGCATGCCAAAGTCGTGGTAAGCCTATACCCAGCTGTGCTATACTTGAAGGTGGAACCGAACTTTCAAGTGTGTAAGTAACATCATCCGAGTAAACTCGAGTGAGGATTTATATCCTGATTAGTTATGACCGAGCAGGCACATTGGGCATGAAAACGGTTGGGGTGGTTTCGGTAGGATTGGGATGTCACTTATACTACTTTACTATCAGGGAGATCTCCTAGGTGTATGCATGACGACGCATTAGATGATTGATATGCATTGATATTTGTCATGAATTTCTATTATTGCAAGATTTCTATTATGATGAAGTGTGTGGTGTTGACTTCATGTTTGATGAATTGATGATTGATTGAGATGGGAGTCCCTTTAGGACTTGTTGAATGAGATCTCCTAGGTGTATGCATGACGACGCATTAGATGATTGATATGCATTGATATTTGTCATGAATTTCTATTATTGCAAGATTTCTATTATGATGAAGTGTGTGGTGTTGACTTCATGTTTGATGAATTGATGATTGATTGAGATGGGAGTCCCTTTAGGACTTGTTGAATAAATGTGTACTATAGATTTTTATTCTATACTTTTATGATTTATCAAACGGCCCGTTCCACTTTTGGAACGGCCCGTTCTGGGCAATGAAACATAGGTATATTTAGTCATTTGGAATGGCCCATTCCGGGCTACTGATCCACCCTAATTGGGCCCTTGGCCCAGTGAAAATTGGGCTGTTACAAATTATCCGTGTATAATTGTTAAAATAATTATCCATTTTTTTAATATTCATAAAATTAATAATTTTATGCTAACACCTTTTATATTTTTAAATAAATTATAAAATTAAATAAAGGTACTATACAAACAGCACAATGCAATATCAAAAAGGAAAAAAAGTGAAACGTAAGCACATTAGCACAGTGATTGCACAACACACACTTTGTCATTCAAAAGTGAAATACATTTTGCCACACAACATCAGAAAGCATAAAGACAAAATAGTGAAAAATTGAAAATACTTTTTGGTTACTATGCATCCTCTTTAACAGGTTTCATTTTGCTGCGCATGAAGGTATTGGAAACCTTACCGGAAGAATAATGGAGAAAAGGAGATTATATTCTTTACCTGGGTCACTAGTGTGTGGTTGTTTGCTAAGTCTGATCCGGTGCCCAAACGCTACAACGAATCCTGATCCGGCTTTGGAATGCAAAGTATCTTTGTCTCAAATTTATGTGTTTTCTTGATATTTTATGCTTGATTTCTGAATAATGCATCCGTATAGGAACAAATCTGGAAAATATTTTTTTTTCTTTTTTTAACAAAATCAGCGTGGATACGGTTGAGATACATATCCTTCACGTATCAAAACGTATCTGTATCGGATACGTATCTGATACGGATACGGGATAAGATTTCACGTATCCCTGCTTCAGAGGGAATAAGACAATGTGGTTTATGGTAGACCACATTAATTTATCATTAGATTAATCTAATCTAGAATAAATTTGTCTACATCCCTCCACACCATATGCATCTTTACCAATACTCACGACCTTCCACGGTGTGAAGCAACTAAAAATCGGCTCTAGCAAGTGGTGTCATTTTTTTTCTCCCTTTCCTTCCCTTCTTTCTTTGAGTCTAGTTTCTAACTTGAAAAGATTTGAATGATTTCGTTGTTGCTATTCATTAGGATGCATGTATCTTATGGGAAGAGATTTTGTGGATTTCGGTGGATCGTTAAAGGAGGAGTTGCAGGACTAAAATTTTAGATGTGAAGGAGGTATATGACTACAGATCTAGGTTTTGTCATGCACAATGTAGCAAAAAAGTGTATGGTCACTACTACAAAAACAGTATTTAACATCGCCACATTTACATCGGTTCTACCAGAACCGATGTAAATCATAAACGCGGTGGCAAACTTGTAAATAAATATAAAATACAAATATATTTACATCGGTTTTGCTTATGACCGATGTAGAAAAAAAATCTGGGGAGTTGTTCTACATCGGTTTTGCTTATAACCGATGTAGAAATGAAACCCTAACATTCTCGCGCGGGTGCACACTCCCCCTCTCTTCAAATCCCCAAACCTCCAAGACGCCAAAGCCCTCTTCGATTCCATCGCCACCTCCTCCACTCCTACGCCGTCGTCGTCGCCTCCCCCTCTGACTCCCCCACTTGACCGTCGTTCAATACTCCTAATCAGAATAATCAAAGAGAAAGCATCGCAGAGCAAGGAGGCGCTACTCTCCTAATGGACCACCCTCTCCCCCCTGTGCCCCCACCACCCACGACTCCTCCGTGCCCCCCACGCGCAAGCACCTCGCCACGCTCATCTCCTCCGCCGATGGGTCACGCACCACTGCCTCCGCCTTAGTCGACCTCCTCATGGACCGCCTCAACGCCACGCACCATGCCACCGTCACCCTCAAGTGCCTGGCCGTGCACCACATTGTCTACCACGACACCTTCATCCTCTAGGACTAGCTCTCCGTCTACCCCTCCTCCGGCGGAAGAAACCACCTCAACCTCTCCAACTTCCACCGTAGCACCGCCGACCCCACCTCCTAGGTACGGTGGTTCGCGCAGCACATGGAGCAGCTCCTCTGCGCCTCCAGAGACCTCGGCTTCTTCCTTAGAGCCAACTCCGATAGCCAAGACAGGGTCTCGTGGATCACCAACGCGCACCTGTTGACCGAGTTTGACTCCCTCGTGGCAGTGGTGGAGGGGATCTGGAAGAGGCTCGAGCCCACCGAGCGCACCTGGTGATTAGTGTGGATTGCTTTCACGTTTTGTTTTCTATACTTTGGTGATTATTTATGAGAAATAAAGAGTTGGTGTTGTTTTTTTATGCTAAGAGTTTTGCAGATAGTTTTGCTTACTGTGTTCTGGTCTTTTTCGGGTGGATGGTTGTTGTGTGCTATTAGACTGAAAGGGCTTGGTTGAAATGTATTGAACATGCTAGATTAAAGTCTTTGTGCTTCAGCAGAAAGAACACCCCAAATTCAGAAGAAAGTCTGAAGACCATTTTGTGGAGCACTCCTTGTCCCTCACTGAGGCCTTATGTGGCTTCCAATTTGTGCTGACTCACTTGGATGGTCGTCAACTTCTTATAAAGTCAAATCCAGGGGAGGTTGTCAAGCCTGGTATGTAAATGGTCCACATCTCTTTTAATAGTTCTTAATCTTTTATAGGTTTGGAGTGGGTGAATAAGTTCTTAATTTGTGTCATGTTTTAGTTTAATTGAAGTTTGGCACTTTGGCTTGCATGATAACATTTGGGGATATGCGTGATTGTCATCACTAGTTCTTAATTCTGGTGATTGAAGCATTTTAAATGTAATATTTGTTTCTTGGTATATCTTGTTTTAAAGTAATTATTATAAAAATACTTTTTCTCATTGTGATTCTTTTTTTTGTTTGACAGCATTGAACACGCTCAAGCATCTCATATTTGTAGCTATAAAGCAGCCAAGCTCAGTGATGAACAAGCTTTTCCCAAATTTCTAGTGAGAGGAAATTTCCTTATGTTGTTTTTTTTCCTTTTCTAAATTTCTAGCTGGGCACAATTCATGTGTGTTTGAAACTGGTCAATATGTAGGTGATCTAGCTGATCCAACTGCACCGAATGCTCTGCTGGTCGGTGGCTTGGCTAAGCCAAATCATGTCTCGGTCACTGGATCAGAATTGCAACTGGATCGGCCAGTCGGTGATGCCATAATCTAAGTGGATAAGACTGCTGCTCCTGATCATGTAGTAGGTGATCCAGCTGCTGATTTGGTTCCATTCCAACCAAGGTATTGTGTTGTTTTTTTTTGTTGCTGCTATTATAAAAGCATGGTCTTTTGATTAATAGCCTATAATTTGGGGTTTTGTTGTGTTTTCAGACTGACCTCCGTTTCCAGAGCCATGCTGTTCTTGCGTTGCAAAAGGCTGTCGAGGCATATTTCTTTTTGTCGAAGCCGATAGGTTACTAGGGGAAATAGGTGTTTACTATCAGTCATATTAATTGTGATAGGCAAATATAGCTAAAAGTTTGTGAAGGTCTGATTTTTAGAAGTTTGGCATGTAATTGATTTTTTCCAAGTAGGTGATCCAGCTGCTGATTTGGTTCTAGTCCAACCATGGGATGAATTTTCATATAATTTGAATTTTTATTGATCTAAAAGATGCATTGAACCATATCTGTAGCTGCATATATTTCATAATTATTGAATGGATTTTATATTTTTAACAAGTTAGTCTTTTTAATTTTGCGCATCTTAATGCACATCTGATATGAAAACTTTAACGGTGATCTAGTGCGGTACTTGGCTGCGGGAGAGCACTTGGTGGAGCACCAGCTAAGAATCTAATTTTTTTTTTAAAAGCAATCTACATCGGTTTAAAGTAGAACCGATGTAGATATGCGTTCAAATCGACATCGGTTTTATTTACAACCGATGTAGATTTGAACGCAAATCTACATCGGTTTTCTGACAACCGATGTAGATTTGAACGCAAATCTACGTCGGTCTATTCTACATCAGTTATAAAACCGATGTAAATTACCTTCCAGAACCGATGTAGAATAGTGCTTTTGTAGTAGTGGGTGGACCATGCTATACCGGGGTGTGTCATGACTTGGGGTAGCAAAACGGGCTATTTTGTGAGTCGGTTTATTAGTCCATAAAAAATTAATGGGTTGAATTATTTGTTTTAGTTTGTTAGCCTGCTAATCCATTGGATCGACCAGGATAAGTTGACTCGTCGTCTATTTATTGTTTAGATATTTTTTTGTTTATTTATTATTTTTAATGTAAGTTTAATTAATTAGCTTTAAATTTATTTTATGTATAATATGTGATTTGTTGTGAAACAAATCTGTTGTATGTTTGATTTATTTTATTATATATAATTTGAATTTTTTTGTACAATAAATTTGCTATAAGAGCTATGATTATCATTATAATTAAACATCTATTTTGTTATGCAACAAATTTAAGATTTATTGTGAAGCAAATCAAATGACTAAATCAATTATAATTTAATTTTTTTTAATTATTTAAATACATTAATTTATATAGGTTCTTTATATATTAAGAAAAAAAATATGTTGAAAAAGTAACTCAAAATAAATATGTAATTTTTTTTCTTTTCCCCATTTTTTGTTTTTTTTAATTCTTTTTGGCAAGTTGACCTATCAGCCTGTCAACCGATCCTTAGGAGGGACGAGCCGAGGTTTTTGGTCTGTTTTTGTTTGGCAAGTTAGCCTAACTCGACCTATTTATGGTAAGCCAACAATGAACTAGGCTTAAATGGGTAAGACTGACTTGTTTTGTCATCCCTAGCCATGACCTTGTACTTTTGGATTTGTGATGTTGCAACTTGGAATTTGGAGATGGTGGTGTTTTGGTAGAGGCGAAGGTAAGGAGGAGTAAGTCAATGGAAGAGTTTGGGTTAGGACCATGGTGGGGTTCATCGTGAAGACTTGACAGGACTCAAAGTCATAGTCACTACAAGAAAAATGCTAACGGAAATAGGTAAATTTCATACGAATTTTCGACGAATTTCAATCCGTCAGAACGGAAATAATTTAATCCGTTAGAAATTTCCGATGGAAAATTCCGTCAAAAAATTCCAACGGAAATATCCATCAAAAAATTCCATCGAAAATTTCTGACAGAAAAATCTGTTAGAAATTTCTGACGAAAAATTCCGTCAAAAATTTCCAAATCCGTCGAAAAATTCTGTCAAAAATTTCTATTAGAAATTTGAAAATTATAATTTTTTTTAATTTTAATAAATTTATTAATGTAACAACCCTCATATTCGGCCTCTCAAGCGTTCTATTTCACGATATTTCACTGTTTAGCGTGTTTTATCCTTACTTGTGCAATTTCTGGGAAACTTCCCAAAAGGTCACCCATCCCTGTACTACTCCAGGTCAAGCACGCTTAACTGTGAAGTTCTGATGAGTAAGCTACCGAAATGTATATGTATGTTATCAGGTCAAGCACGCTCCAGGTCAAGCACGCTCCAGGTCACCCATCCCACCTACCACAACATTAGCTAGCTTAACTAAACCACCTATGGGATTAGCCCACTGATTATCCTCCAAATATCATAGCCCTTTGATACTAGGTTAGGGATTTTAACTCTCGACTTTGTACTTTACTCGATTTGTCATTCAACTAACATAGACCCTAGAGGGAAGCAACTTAAAAAAAATACAACTTAATTCACCTCTAGCATCTATATATCTCAACTTAGACATGTATCTCAACCACATGTCCACAACTTTACCTCTTTATACAACATACAACTTTCAACTTTAAATAACTAAACAACTTAACAATTGAATTAACACCAACCTCAACTTAACAACTTCAATTGCAACATAACAACTATGCAACATAAGACTTACAACTTAAGATCCTTAATCCATCTATCAACTTACAACATAAGCATTCATCATCATGTATCAACATACATATACATAAGGATTTCACAATCAAAACAACATGAAATCATACATCAAGAATTCAACATGAGCCAAAGATTCATAGCTTCAAAACCCCTTTTTTATCGTTAATTTCATCAAGAGAAATAGGGCATGGATTAAGGGGCACTGACCGTGATGATGCATATAGTTGTTGTTCACCTGTATTGTAAAAGATCTCTTAGTTGAATGAGTGATGATGCATATAGTAGTTATGTTGAGCATATAATGTATTGATTCTGTTGTGTTGTTCATATGTTATGTTGTTTTGTTAATGAGTTGCATTGTTGTGATGCAAGTTGAATCGGTTGTTATGTGGTTAAGTTGTGTACCTTAAAAGGTTGTTGAATGTTAAGTTGAGGTGTTACTATGTTGTTAAAGTTGAGAACCATGATGAGTTGTGTCATATGGTTTATATGTTGATGTTGGTAGTATAGTTAGATAATTCTTCTATACTTGTTGATTTATTTTGTATACTAGCTTGCCTTTGCATATTTCTTTGCGGTTGAATTGTAATGATCATATTTATATGAGAGCAAGGTAGAGATAGGCTAAAGGTCGAGTTTGTTTTGGGGCCATGCTGGGGGATGGTGGTGTTGATCTTTTGAGCTATCCCGATATAGCTAGTTTAATGTCTTTTGTAGTGTTGCTTGACTGATAACCTAGGCTACATTTCCAGTACTTGATTAATGTGTGTGTGTGTGTATGTGTGTATATATGTGTGTGTTTGTTTGTGTGTACTTGTATAATTATTATATTATTTTAGTTATTGACAAAAATTTGTGCACATGTATATAATTGCTTGCATGTTAATCCTGGATAGTTTTATTTATGTTTTCCACTATGAGTGGTTGAGTTTTAAAGTGTAGTGACCTTATGAGTTGTTACGATTCAAGAATGATCTTTTTTGGTAACCATAATTTAGGTATGGAGTATCTACTATTAAAAATAGTGATTAATCTTCGTTGGAATTGTGAACATATACAAAATAGATATTGTCCTCTCAATATAGTCAATTATATACTTAAGACCCATTTGAATGGTTTAGCATACACACCAAGTTTGTGAGAAAAAGATTTAGATTTGATTCTTGTAAAATAGATTTTAATACATGAATAATAAACTTTAAATATAATTAAATCTCATATGGATAATTATTCTAATAATTATTAACTTAAAAGACCAAAGTTTATAGACATCTTAAGATCCAATTGGAAGTCATGTTTAATTACAATAGTTAAAAAAATTAATTAAGGTTTATCTTATATTTTTGTCATATTTGAATTAAAAATACCTTAAAGTTATCTTACCTTTTTACTTTTTCATAACAATAACCATGTCCAAGTGTTCATAGTTATTGTTTTACATCACAAGGATTGCATGGAGGTGTGTTGTAATAATGTTGTAGGTCTTGTGGTCGTTGAAAGCATAGACACGAGCCAATAGGGTTGTAGTGGCAATGACTATTCATAGTTAAGTATGTAATACGTAGTATGAAACTAACACTTATATTAGGGGTGAGGAATTCAGTCTCCTAATTGGATTTAGCCGAAGTTTATTTGAATGAATTTAAACTTTAAAATTGTATCTAGTTCACTTTTAGGATATATTCATATTATGTTTTGGATAGCCTCTAACTCAATTTAATATAAAGTTCTCCTAAAAAGTATAAGATTTTATTTAACTTATTATGTATTAATAATAAAGATATTAATTATTAATATTTTTTGTAACACAATATTATTTTTATTGTAACGACTCAGTAAGTCATCGCACTTATTACTAGAAAATCGACATTAAGCGGACGCAAAAACATGCATATAGTAAAATGTATGGAATATAAACAACATATAAAATTCAATATATATACTATATACATCACCACTAAACAACTACAAAATGTCCTTTATACAACCAATCAAGGACTCCCAAAATATGACTCCATTGGAAGAGTCATACAAAATAATCATCATCTTGCCAGCTAACTGCCTAATCCTACCCTACTCGCATACCAAGTATGACCATTATAGTCCCAACCACAAGGAAATGAAGTGTAAGTTTACGAAAGAAATAATATACAACAATACAACTAAAACATCAAAAGCATAAATTGACAATAATACAATTCACAGCTTATAACATGTTCAACATTTATCAACTTATTCATAATCAACATCTCAACATACATATATTATAACAACTAATGCATTGTCACACATGTCAACTAAGGAGATCTCCGACAGCTGAGGTGAGCAATTTAAGTGGTTTGTCTCTACTAAATCATAGCGTTAGACCTATCTTAACCAGGTCAGGTATAGGAAAACGTTAGGCCTCATAAGAGATTCAGGTATAGATAACTTAGTTTGATTTCTTAGGCTTTGCCACTTAAACAAAGAAGTATGGTACTATGTCAAGATAGAATAATTTAGGTATGGACCTACCACAACATTAGCTAGCTTAACTAAACCACCTATGGGATTAGCCCACTGATTATCCTCCAAATATCATAGCCCTTTGATACTAGGTTAGGGATTTTAACTCTCGACTTTGTACTTTACTCGATTTGTCATTCAACTAACATAGACCCTAGAGGGAAGCAACTTAAAAAAAATACAACTTAATTCACCTCTAGCATCTATATATCTCAACTTAGACATGTATCTCAACCACATGTCCACAACTTTACCTCTTTATACAACATACAACTTTCAACTTTAAATAACTAAACAACTTAACAATTGAAAAAAATGATTACA